AGACACAGAGATAAGGTTAGGAGCAATGGGCCTGTCTGGTTTGTCTTACTTTTAAAGTGTCAAATACATGTCAAATGAAAGAGAGGTGAAGGGTCTGGTTTTTATTTGAAAAGCACAGAAAGATTGTAAAAACCCAAATTTTGCCTTTCACCATTTTTATTGTTGTAGTTATGGTTCTTGACGCCTTTCAAGGTATGTTCTGTTGTTATGTCCTGACATGCAAGCATTCAGTGGAGCTGAACTAGTAGCATGGCTGTAAACACTGCCCCCTGGCTTTGAATCTTCTTTTTGTCAGGTTGTCTGCTGCACTACACTCTCTAGTTGTATTCATCACGGATGCTAATGTAAACTCTGATCTTTCTCCAGGGAAGAAGAGCAGTTCCAATTCAGTCTCCAAGACTTCAAATGTGTGGCAGTCCTTGGACGTGGTCACTTTGGAAAGGTAGCTTTCATTTGATTGTCCAACATAGACAGAATAACAAATAATGCAGCTGCAGCTCTGTCATTTTCCACAATTGTTTTGTCTATAGAAATGCCAGAAAATAGTAAAAAAAGATTAGTTTATTATAATTAACCAGAGCTGAAGGTGACATCTTTAAATTAAGCATTAAATCCTCACAACTAGGAAAACTGGCATTTGTGCTTGAAGCATTACTTTGTCAATGCTAAAAATAGTTTTCTTGATTGATTTATTGACTTATAGTTCCAGCTCTTGTCCAACAGAACAAAGAAGGCAGAAAGCTGAAATGTATTTTCCCTGAAGTGTCTCTTTCCTCTGTCTCCCTTCCTCAGGTGTTGTTGGCAGAATACAAAAGCACAGGAGAGATGTTTGCTATCAAAGCTCTGAAGAAAGGAGACATTGTGGCTCGTGATGAGGTGGACAGGTAAACCTTTAATGTTTCCGCTCTCAGCAGTGTGCCAAAAATAGTGCAAGGCTGGAAACATAAAGAACATGATGATTAGTTACAGGTGCTGATGTGGCATTCCTGTTCTTTGAGTGGATGAGTACAAATTGCTGTTGCCTGTAACTCCGTCTCCTCCTGTCTTTGCCAGTCTGATGTGTGAGAAGAGGATTTTTGAAACGGTCAACAGCGTCCGCCACCCGTTCCTGGTCAACCTGTTTGCGTGTTTCCAGACGCAGGAGCACGTTTGTTTTGTCATGGAGTACGCAGCGGGAGGCGACCTGATGATGCACATCCACGCTGACGTCTTCTCTGAGCCCAGGGCCATGTGAGTGACCAGAGCTTCAACTGTAAACTCTGTACACTCTCACTGTGAATTCATTTGTTGGGGGTCATGTGTCCGCTTTATATTTTCTTAATGGGAATTCTGACAGAACTGGCTTTTACATATTTTATAAAAAACTCCACTTCCTCTGTATGTAATACTGATATTTGTGAGTGTGAGCTCATTAGGGGAAGTCCCTTTCTGTTTTCTTCATGTTCTCATGTAACCATCTAATCTACTGTGTGTTTCCTGCCGATGCAGATTTTATGCAGCCTGCGTCGTATTGGGATTACAGTTCTTACATGACCATAAGATTGTGTACAGGTAAGCAGTTTGAGTAATGTTAAGTCATTCAGTTCAGCCCCACCTCTGTTAGGAGTTTTCAAAAATCTTTTTCCTTTTTTTAATTTGCAGAGATTTGAAGCTGGATAACCTGCTCCTGGATACGGAGGGATATGTAAAGATTGCTGACTTTGGTCTTTGCAAAGAAGGTGAAATGTGAAACCATGTTATACCGAAGGCTTCATAGCTAAAGATAAAACAGATTGAAATAGGGTCACTAGATCAATATCATGTAGCTTCAAAATAAAACTACTGCCCTGAATATCCTCAAACAAGAGTTAGGCAGGAGTGAGGTTGGTCATTAACAGTCTCTGTCATGCTTTCAGGAATGGGTTTCAGGGACCGCACCAGCACATTTTGTGGCACACCAGAGTTCTTAGCTCCTGAGGTTTTGACAGAAACGTCGTACACTCGAGCTGTGGACTGGTGGGGGCTGGGCGTCCTTATCTTTGAGATGCTGGTTGGGGAGGTGAGTGCACGTTCCCTCGAGATGTTCACAAACATTCAGTACTTGCATAACGCTGTGCCATTTAATTCATGCTGAATGTCAGTGATTCATATTCAGCAGCTTTTTGGCTTTGTCTTCATCTTTCTCATCTTGGCACGTCTCTTTTCAGTCGCCCTTCCCTGGTGACGATGAAGAGGAGGTGTTTGACAGCATCGTCAACGACGAAGTTCGCTACCCACGGTTCCTCTCGACCGAGGCCATCTCCATCATGAGAAGGGTGTGTAGCTAGACTGAGAGCGAAGGGATTGGCCTTAAATGAGTGAATTCATAACTACTGAATAATCACTCTGCCTGACAAACCCTCGCTGTGTCTATACAGACTAGATTTCATCTAGTAATTGTCCACGTAATGTATCCGTTTAATATTTTTACTTTATTTATTCTTGTGCTCAGCTTTTGAGGAGGAGTCCAGAACGACGACTGGGAGCAGGAGAAAAGGACGCGGAGGAGGTTAAGAAACATCTATTCTTCAGGGTAAGCAATGAAAACACAATTTACACTGAACTTAATGAATTGGCTTTTTTAACATGAGTCTGACCCAGACTAGCTGTTAGTCTTTATGCTAGGCTAAGCTAGCTTTATGTTTAACAGAAAGTTATGAGAGTGGTCTCAATCTTCTCATCTAACATCTAGCATGAGCATTTCCCAAATTGATGAGCTATTCTTTTAAGAAACTCAACATAAAGGTGACCCTCTGTTTCTTGGCAGAACATGGATTGGAACGGACTGTTGGCTAAGAAGGTGAAGCCGCCGTTCGTGCCGATTATTCAGGGCACCAACGACGTTAGCAACTTTGATGATGAATTTACCTCAGAGGCTCCGATCTTAACCCCGCCGAGGGAACCCAGAGCGCTGAACTCCGACGAGCAGAACATGTTCTCTGACTTTGATTATATCGCTGACTGGTGTTAGCTTCACCTGACCCCTGTCTACACACAAACACACACACACACACACACACACACACACACACACACACACACACTGTGAACCTACCAACACAGCAATGACTGTAGCTCACATCATTTTTAAAACGTTCCTCTTCCTTGCCCAAAATGTTGAGGAGGAGCAGCGAGCGTGGCTCCCCGAGCCTTCGGGCAAAAACTCTGTGCCATTGAGAAGAAAGTCCAGAAACCTCCTGAGGACCCCCACTTATTTTTTAATCCACATGAAGAACTTTTCTTTTTTTTTTTTTTTAAGAAAAAGAAAAATGAAACTCTGTTGTTGGAGAGTGAAGGAGGAGGGATGCTTCCTCCTCCTGCACACGTTGTCGTCGTCGTGTCCATTGTCTGACCACTGAGAATGTTTCATATGAACTCTGAGAAGACGGCAACATCACAATCATGTTATTCAGTGTCACTGTCTTCAGTTTTTTTGATCTGTACAGATTATATTCAGTCCTGTATTTTATTGTTGTGTTTTTCTTTAATTACAAGCCCTCGCCATAGCTTAAGGACGTTTTATCTCGTTGTAAAGTTTGACAACGATCCACAATCATGTCTGAAACTGGTGTTCGGTGAATTGGAAGTGCTCAAAGCATTAATCACCGAATGGTCAACTACAGCAAACATCTTGACTACTACTGCTGCTTCTTGACTTGAAATACAAGTAATAGTCTTCACACTACATTTATTTTTGTCTAGGGGCCCAGTTTTTTAACACAACCTGTTTTTCAACCTCACTTTGCTCACCTGAAGCTCTCATGTCTGCATACAATAACAGTATAAAATAGCAGTCCATGCAGTGCTACGTGCTGCTTAAGCTTTTAGGTTAATAACCACAATTTGAGTTGATAATTAAAAATCCCCTTTGCCAGAAGAAATAATGCAGAATATTTTTTTTTGTCTGATGCCCTCTAGTGGCTGTATAGCTTGAGGTTGATATTCAGCTGAACTCAGTTCTGAAGATCAAAGTGCTGCTTGGTGTTGCAGTATCTTTTGGAACAATAAAATCAAACCTTAACATTAAATTTATTTTTTTTCAGAGCTGAGTTCAGTTGGATTACATTATTTTTGTGCTGTTTCATTCCTCAGTGAACAGCCGGTTGTGGTGGACCTGACAGCATTTTTCTTGTTACCTCAGTCAAAGTGAAAACACTAAAGTGAGTTGCACAGTTACAGCTACCAAAACCAAATTCATCCTGTCCCTCTTGAAGCAGCAGACAAGCAACTCTTCATGGTTGAACTAAATTCTGATTGACTGACTGACGGTGAATCCATTGACCGACGAAGCAAAGGTGTGTTGTGCAAACTCCGAGTGAGGAGCTGTTTCTTGGGAACATACTAAACTCAAGTTATTTTAGGTCTCCAGCTAAATGCTTACCACACTTGTTGGGTGATCATTTAACTTTTTCAGTGGAACCAGCTGATAACTTTGTCAATTTGCATGTTATATATAAACTGACTCAAATGTTGGAGACCTGTTGATATGAATCACTACAGGGGAGGGCAGGGTATATTATATATACATACTGTATGTACACAATTAAGCTGAAAGCACTAATTTTATCAATAGTTTATCTACGTTTCTTAATGATGAAAATAGATTGTACAAAGTTTTTTTTTTTTATTCTTTGCTTGTGCATGTTGTTTCCAGGACAGACAAAAACTATGGATGGTACACCAATACTCATGTCACATAACTGTTGCTGTTCAGCCTGGTGTAAAAAAGAAATGGCATTTCTGCAGTCGTTTGTTGCCCATCATGAATGCACAAATTAAACATTTGTAATAGTGGTTTTGCTCTTATTTTTAGCCCTGACATTGAACACACCCTAATAGTACACAATGGGTTATTTTGAATTGTACCTGCCTTTTGTTGAGTTTTCTTTCCTTTGAAGACGTTCAATTTATAAACTATTACTGTAGTAAGGTAGTATAGTAAAAGCACTTTTATGTAAACAAATGTTATTCAAACCATGAGATTAACCTGCTTTAATGAAAATCTTTTATTTTTTTTTAAATTACTTGAAACAATTCAAACAAACTAACAAAATAGAACCTGGTCATTTTTCTACAAAAAAAACAAAGTTTTATGTATACAGTATGAAACCAGCCTAAAATTGCAAGCATCAATTACATTTTCCCACTTGGACATATATACATGATACAGTATATACACTCAAATGAAATACTGTAAATACAGTCTGCAGAGCTGTTTATTTAAGCACTGGAATGTGTCCGTTTTATTCCTGTGAGAGTGCCTTAACAAAGGCTTGAAGTCTTAGGAGGGACAAGAGAAACCTTCCAAATCCAACACAAATATGATTTTAAAAAAAAGAATACAATCCTGTAAGTACAGCAGAAAAATATCATCACTGTGTAGGGAGCGTTGTCTTCACAGTTGTGGCAGCTTGTCGACGGGTGTGTCAAACTTGAAGTCTGGAGGGAAGAGTTCTGCAGCGCGTGGGTAGATGAGTCGGTATGACTGTCTGATCGTAACATCTGCAACACCGGCAATATCCCCGATTTCTGTGGAGGCATCAGAGACGAGGTTCAACTCTTGAATCTGAAACTTGCTGCTTTTTCACAACAATAACTGGGAGAAATTTTCTGCAGCTCAAAAATACAAAGGGGAAATAAAACATTCTAGTTTTTTTATTCAAACGGAAAACATCCACCTAAAAAAGCATCACATCTGGAGCTAGAGGGATACATCTGTCCTGCTCAGGGACACTTCAACAGGGCGGAGGACAGACGGCACATTTTTTAATCAGACCAGTAAGACATGATGCCAATTCAGCTTTATCCCATTGCCCTTTTATTAGGCTGAACAACAGGTGTAAAATTAACAGTTACTTCCACTTTTACTTCCACTGATAATACTTGTACTATGTACTGCACTACATTTATCTACTGGCTTTAATTACTTTGTAGTTTATGGGTAATCAAACCAACGATAAAACTGACATATTAAAGCTTCAACTATTTAGCACTGATTTTACCGTTTATATTCATGTACTCAAATGAATTTTATGAAGTTCACTTAAGTACATTAATGTCATTAAAGGCACAATCTGTGACCCAAATGTAAAAAGAAAAAGGTGGCCTTACAATCTAAATTCAAAACAGGAATTGGGGCTCTATTACCCAGAAAAAGATTAACAGGTCTTTAAAACCAGACAACTAAAGCCTTTTATCTGTGTTTTTAAAAAATCTGTTTAAGGTTTGTTTAAGATACGTTTGTTAACACACGAGTACAACGGGAATACTGTACTTTATAGCAAACTGAGTATCAAACAAGATCTTTCTACCCAGTAGAGGTTTTCATGGTTCCACTCAGGTCAAGATGTCTGGGACAGGCCTGCTCAAAATGATATTCAATCTAATAAATGTCCCCGGGTCTGCGTGACAATATGTCTAGAAGCAGAGCGGATCCCAGTGTACTAGCTATTAGATCTGTAGTGTTTCACAGTCATCACGGGAGAAAATGTGTTTTTTGAGGCAGACGTAGAACGTGAGCTGTGCTGAGAAAGAAATGACACATCTCTCTGTTCTGTTGTTGCTCTGTTCGTCACTGCTCATTAACTGGTGCCGCTGCCTGTGTTGGTGTCCTCTTTCTGTTTGTGGGTCGACTTCATTTTGGATCAGGTCTGACTTGTCCGTACACACCGGGTTTGTGTAGGTTTTCCAGAGCTTCATGTCAGACTGGGTGCAACATTACTGGCCTATGAAGACCCCTACTGCCAGTGTATAACCTGTACAAATAAGTATATAAACTAGTAGAAGTTGTTATTCCACTTCCACTAATCACTCACCTTTCTGGGTCTTCTTCTCTGCGGAGGCCTGGGAGGCCATGTAGATGGCTGCCGCCGCCACTGAGATGGGGCTCCTGCCGGGCACCAGGTCGAGCTCCACGGCCTTCCTGGCGATGAAGGTGGCCGCCATCTGCACCTGTTTGGGCAAGCCCAGGTTGGAGCAGAAGCGGGACATGAAGTCTCCAGTGGTGATGAGGTCCACACTGGTCTCCAGCGCCTTCAGGATCAGCTTGAAGCACCGGCCAATTTCCTTCTTGGAGATCCGAGAGACAGCGCAGATCTCTGTGGAAGGAGAAAGAAGGGGAAGAAAGTTTTGAGAACGATTGAGTGATGTGACGTCTATAAATAGGATGTTGTCTTCTATAAAAAACCGTAGGGACAACAATCTAATTGCCTTTAGTTAATGGTGGCAAATTACAAACCACATATTAAATCCCACTGAGAAACACTTAAGGGATTCTGTGTGTAACCTTCACAGGAAAAGGTGAGAACACTTTCTTCCTGTACTGTGTGAGAATTAAGACATATTTCATCAAATGTTTTATTAGTCAAACAATAATATATTATTTAGCAAACTAAATTATTTTTTTCATTGATATTCTATTAAATACCAATGCATCTCATGTCCAAGGGTTACATATGTATTTTGAACAAATCATTTCTTAAATTCTCTTGATTTAACACGATAAAATAAAAAAACATTCTTAGACGTATCAGTCACTATCAGAAATGAGCAGATTTTTGTCTGTACCATTTATTAAAAAGTACCACCACTTGGTGGATTTTATGCCGTCAATCGAGCAGTCGTTACTTCAATAATGTGGCAGATGGCAGAAGGAAATAAAAAGGTTCATTCTGACCTTTAAATGTTCTTGGTACACCTTCTTGTCTGCAGGCGATGTAGAGACAGGCTGAAGCGATGGCATCATTGGCTCGCCCCTTCAGGCTCTTCTGTTCATAAACCTGCTTGAATAAGTTGTTTGTTCTGTCCTGCAAAGCAAAAACATTATTTACATCAAGCAAATTATCTGCATCCTCCTAGTAATGGTAACAATCTCCCCACAAACACAAATAATGTTTATGAACCAAACCAGGTGGAGACCTTATATACAATGTCAATGGTAGAGACTGATGCTGGTACATCATCAGACTTAGGTTAGGATGATTTATCACTGAATCATATTTCTGATGTCTTTAGAACTTACTATGATGTTCCTCGGCAGGTTGATGCGATCTGCCATGGTGCTGATTTCTTTAAAGGCGTTGAGCATGGCCCGGTCAGAGCTGCTCATGGTCCGCCGGTTCTGGTACTTGGAGTTACCGAATTCATCAAAACTAGCTGCGCCTGTCCCCTGTGGTGGGAACAATGAATGTTTATCAGTAAAATTCAGTGTTATTGTTCCATAAGAACATTGAGGATGTGGTTTACTGTGATTGTGGTATTCTGGTGCAGCAGATGTTACTAGACAGTCACAATGAAGTTTCTGTATCAGGTAATATAAATATAATGCTGCTTTCAATGCCATTAATGTTTAGAATACCATAACATGGACATCTGAACACAGGTAAAACAGTTGCTTAAATATCTTTTGACATCTTTCCAACAATTTGAGCTGCAAATACCAACATCTTGGAACAACTGTACTTTTGACCAGAAGGCACACAACGAGGCTGCTTTTCAACAACGGGCTCAACCGTCTCTCACCTTGCTGATCATGGTGGTTAGGTCTCCTCCATTGAGCAGTGGGTTCTGGGCATCTCCCACTCTGGATGGATCTTTGAGGGCTTTCTCATTGGAGAACGTCCTCCACTCTGAGCCTACGTCGATTACACGGTCACCTGAGGAGAGAAGGTTTGGATAATGTTTAAGAAATTAAACCTAAACCTGAAGAAGCAAAAAGGCGACGTAAGACAATATTTACACGTTCATTGTAACAACCTTTAACTGGTACGGTTGATTCTCCAATATCCTCAAAAACAGAAATTAGTCACACTGTATTCATCAATTTCAACCAACATTCATCCTGTTTTTGTTTTTTGAGGCGAGCTTCTCAAACTTGCACTGATGGTGCTCTGAAACAGGTTCTTTTCCTTCCTTTATTGATAGAAACACACGACATGTAACGCAAATACAAACACTAAATGTGATCAATGTGTGATTTTGTTTAAAGTTCTGTGAATCACCTGCACACATAAACCATAAGTGCCCACAAAACACATTCACTGTGTTCTTCTGTGTGTCTGTATTACATCCCTGTAGAATAATTAACCAGAAGATGGTGCCACATTGAGCACAATTTCCTTATGCAAATATATTTTCATGCGTCCAAGTCTCAAATACTTTGAGTATTGTCTTCCTTCAGCTTGTCCACAACACCTCTTACATTTTACTACTATAGCGTACTCTCAGTATAGTGTCTCTGAATGATTGTCACACCCCATCTCCTCTTTCCCATTTTCTTATTGGGAAATACGTAATAAAATATGATCCAAACTGTGACAAGGCAGGAATATTGTCAATACATTATATTTATCCAGTTATGACTGTTCTTGGGACCCTGTAGCAGCGTTGAGGATTAGATTTCTGATATTTTAATCCTGTTAGGCTTTTTTTTTTTTTTAACCACCCATCAGTCTTTCTAATATCTAGAGGCAAAGTGACATTCATCTCCTTAGAGGCCAGCCAAAGCTATGGGAGCAGGAACAGAGGGCATGTTTAGCTTGCATCAGAGAGTGGCTGGCGTCTCTCGTCTCCCATCTGACCTGGTCTGTGCTCAAGGGGCTCATTAGATGAGAACACTGTGTTCCCTTACAGCTTTGTCTTACAGTCTGCATCACATGTTAACAGGATTTTTGCTTCATACACTTTGTATCTGTGTCTTTTGTGTCTTGACAGCAAATGACAAACTGAAACAAACCCTACACTAGGCGAAAATTGCACAAATAATTGTTAATTATTTGTTCATAGCCTTTCCTTCATTCCTGCCACGCCTATTGCACGTCACTTATCTGCTCAATTTGAAAATTCAGCGTGAGGCTAAAAAGCATAGATGTCAAAACAACGCCAAAAACTGTATGTGTGTGACAAAATGCAATAATGTGTTTTTGTGATCTGGCTGAATAAATCATAAACTGAGGCAGCACTTCTAGATCCTGCAGAGTAAATGCAGTTTGAATGGCATTATAGAGAAATGCATTATAGTGGCTAACTTTTCCAGATTTTAGTTTCACGCTGTAGAAAATGTGGCCTTGTTTAGCCTGTCAACTCAGCTGACGTCAATGTGCACTTTTTTAAAATATGGTGGCCTTATAACCAAACAAACAGGTTCAGGAAGACGTGTGCCGAGGAACCTTCGCGTGTAGAAATTAGTTTCTACTCAGAGATTAACTGTCAGAAGAGATAAAGAAACACGAAACCAAAATGGAGAGGAAGCATGTGTTCTAACAATAAGAACTGTATGATACAAAAGTGCGTGTGTTGACAGTGTACATACTGACCTACTACAAGGCCACATTCAGGGCAAATCATGTCCCCCGCTCTGTAGTCCTCCACCAGTATGGCATCAGGGTGGTTGGGACACTGAACTCTTGGAAGGGCCAGAGCATCTCCGCTACAGAAATAGACAACAGTTAAGTGATAAAACAGCTACAAAAAGACAATATGGGAAGAAAACAGGAACATACAAACGCCAGGTTGGGGCAGAGAGTGCGTCTTGTCAAAGATCACTCAGAGGAAACCACAAATGAAGAACAACAGCTAGGCTAATTTCCATTTCTTATACCCCAGGGAGGAAAATTCAAATACATTGCGTTACGTAGTCCAGATGTGTTTCACATTTTCACTTCACTTTCCCTTTTGTTACGGAGACAAAATACCCGTGCTGGGGGAATATTCTTCCACATCAACTCTCACAAAGTGACGGCTTTCTGTTATAATGGTCGTATTGATCCAAGCAGGCTGAAAGCACTAAACTGTCTGTGGTTGGTTTGAGAAGTGCCATAAAGGAAAACAATATCAAACATTAACATGGATCATCATCATATTAATAATCCATGATTACATACGTCAACAGCACCATTTAAATGGTTTGATTCTTTTAACAAACAGATGCTGTTTGCCGTTAACTGTTGTGATTAATGTCCATGTCCCCTTGTATGCTGTGTTTGTGTCCTCGAGGGACAATAAATATCTTAACTGAACAAAGAAAACATCAAACAACCTGAAGGCAAAGTTTACTGATTGCCAATTATTTTCTCGACTAAATATTTAGTCTTTGAAACAACAAAACTTGTGGAAAAATGCCAATAAAAGTTTCTCAGAGGGTAAAGTGATGTCTTCAAACTTGTTCAGCCAAAACCCCACAAAGATATTAAATCTACAATTATACATAACACAAAATCATCATATAAAAGCAGCAGGATTCAGAGAATATTTAAGAAATAACCTAATCAATTGTCGAAATAACAGGCATATTTTGAATCCTGGACTAAATTGAACAAATCATAAGGTCACGATGATGTGGCGAAAGCAACAGATCCAAACCCTGAACGTCAGATCTTCACACACACTGGGAGGAGAAACATTTCCTCCAGCTGACAGTGGTTGCAACACAAACACCAGCGGAGAGGGAAGACGAGCAAAGCACTCATAATAAATAGTGTGCTCGACTATGTGTTCATTCAGTGCCTAATGTTGTTAAAGGCTAAACGTAGACTAACATTTGAAGGTGTTTACATTACGACTGACCCAGCGCGGCTCACTAACGTTAGTACAAGTTATCACGTTAGCACAACTTCCAGCTTCAGGCTACAACAACTGTACCGAGGAGTTAAAACGACAAAGAGGAAAAAAAAAACGGCGGAAAAAAAACAAGTCTGCGATGCAAAGCGACGTGAACGTGATCCTGAACCGAAGCCATTGAACGCCACAACAGAGTGAGGATGTAACGGCGACACTTCTGGTAACGTCTCCCAACCTAACGTTAGCTAACGGCTGTTACCTAGCACAACACAATACATGTAACGGCTCATCACGGGAGCGCTACCGTGGAGAGATAGCACCGGCGTTCATCACCGGCTGTACCTCGGTCGCTTCTTACTAAACCACACCCGGAGAGACACACGCACGACACACACACACACACACACACACACACACACACACACGGAGAAAAAGGTATTATATTTGGTTAAAGTTGCTACGCACCGGCTTGTCGACGCCATGTCTTTCTTCACTCCGCCTGTGTGTCAAAGAAACAATTGAACGCAGCACCTCTATTTATAACTTCCTCTGGTCACGTGTCTGCTGGAGTACGGAGAGCCGATAGGCGCAAATTAGTCCAAATATCCTCCCGGTTTCCTTACCAGACCGCCGTCAATTATTAAATGAAAAAAACAGCACAGTTGTGATGTCTGTGATTATACCGTATGATAACATGAGGTTTACATGGTATTAATATGGATTCATGTTGAATTGTTTTCTATGAAATGTGCCTACAAGTCCTGGAGATCAGGCGACACCCAAGACTCCCAAAACAAAGACCAACAGGTAAAGAAACAGTACAATACCAATGTGCAGTACCACACATATACAATACCAGTTTAATAACAGCAACAGAAATATAAATCGGTAACACTTTATTGAATAGTGTCATTGGGAAAGTACTAGAATTTCATTACATTTTTTTCATGTTAAGCTGCTGTTTACTTACACTTACTTTAAACTAATCTGACTTTATTGGAATCATTAGAGGTGAACTCACTGATCACTGTTTCTATTTTCTCTGATGAGTGTTAAATATATAATTATTTCCAGGAGACTTCCTTGGAAATTCTTCCGAATTGACAGACCTGTAAGTGTCACCAGTCAAACCAGGATAGGTGATAAAATACATGGTATATGGTATAAAATACAAACCTGATATTTCACTAGACTGTGAGATCAGCTGTCATTAATAGTGTGGTTGCCCTACACAGGAACATAAGCCTATTGGCTTACCAGTAAAAACAAAATGACTTTTCTGACAAAATGATATAAATGGACGTTACACATCTCTAAACTGTACCGATTTATCGTATGAGCCTACTGATAAAAAAAAAGGCCTGTGACATTGCTGACTGTCTGCTGTGACTGTGCCAGTCTGTGTCTCTGACTCTGTACCAATCTGTGACTGCTCTCCTCTACGTCACACTTCTCAGGCCCTTGAAGAATCCACAGTGTGCCACAAAGAGTCATTGATTTGGTGGAAAGTGAAAAACAAATCTATCTACAAATGAAATATACAATTTCTTACAGAACTCATTTGGAAACTGAAGTTAACTATGAATAATTAAAATGCTCTTATCTCTCACTCAATGGTCAAACATATCCAATCACATAAACAGGCTTGGGGAGTAACAGATTGCATGTAACTTGCTTATGTAATCAGGATACAAAAAGGTATACTACAACTACAGTTGCATTAAAAAAGACGTAATCACATTACAGTTACATTTAGTAAAAATGGGGATTATCAACAGGATTACTATTTTAAAATAAAGAACAACATAGTTCCATGTACACGTCTCAAAGCACCAGTCTATTCTCAAGTGAAACCAAATAATCTTAAAGTTGAAGGAGAAAAGGAAACAACTTCACAGTATAGCGCAAGTTCTGCCTTCCATGTGTGAAAATGGTCTAGACTCTAGGCTATTGCGTGAATTTGTTAAATGAAGTTTTTCTTTAAAAAATATACTGATCAGAGGACACCTTCTTTCTATTTTCTTTTCATTTCATTGTTCTGTTGTCTATGTAAAAGTCATCTTATTAATATTTCTTTAATTTTGTCTTTATTTGCAGATTTGGTGTTGAGGTTGGATTACCTAGCAGAAAGTCAAATGACATTATTTTAGTATTGTGATACTTGTATTTATTACTGACTAAATGTTTTAACAAGTAATTAATTGTATCGGATTACATTTACGTAAAGTAACCCTCCCAACCCTGCATTTAAAATGAAAAGGCCACAAAAGTACAGTCACATTATCTGGGCTCAGTAATCTAATCCAACACCGGACAGCTCGCAGTGATGTGTATGTCTGATTCTGACCTGGTAAAAAACCTTTTTTTAAATTATAAGTAACTTCTAAATGTGTACTGCTACTGATTAGGGTACAATGTGGAGAACATGTGTGCACCATGAGGAATTTAAAGTTTTTACTATGCTTTTGCAACTGATTCTTGTCTGAAAAGTGTCCTTGAGCATTCATATATCTTTAATGGTGAGACCAGTATGCAGGTATCAGAGCAGAAGAAAAAGTGGTGGCACGTGTTCTCAGTGTGTTTCTTTGTCTCAAGCACACATGCAAATACACACTGTGTATTTACTGCTTCGGGGGCTGTCTATTCTTTATTTCTCAACTGCCACATCATACGCAGGGTGGGAGGGTTATTTTGAAAATGTAATCCGATACAGTTACTCATTACCTGTTGGTAGGAGTCAGTAACCTAATCTAAGAATCACATTATTAAAGAAAACGTAACTTGACTTTCCGTTACTTTTGGATCACCTGAACACCAAATATACAAAAAACAAAAAAGAAAAGAAATGTCAATAAGAAGTGAAGTGTATTCTATAAGACAACAGAAAAATGCAACCTTTGAAAAAAACATTGAAAAATGTGTCTTCTGTTTGGTGTATTTCTAGAGAAAAACTGATGTATTTTAAAATTATAATCCTCCTACATAATCCCCATTTATTTCTAAATATAACTGTAATCTGATTACATCTTTTTTATGTAACTGTAATGGATTACTTACCTTTTTTGTAACTCAGTTACATGTAATCCTTTACTCCCCTCCCTCTCATATCAAACCACATTATCATTCATTGCTGTTACTCTATATTGAGTAATAACAAAGGATCAGCCCACGAGCAGACAGCCTGTGTGCACACACCTGAAACAGTGTATGTAATGTCACACACACTCTTTTGTCTAACTACACTCAGGAAACCTTTATAGACTACATTCCCAGATTCCTAACCCTCCCCACTAAATGCCCAACACTTACCCAAAACTAATCCTGAATTTCCTACCCCATTAGGTGTATGTGTGAGATAATCCACTGTTTACCGTGTTTACAGGAAATTAATTACTATAGAAACATGTTTGTTTGGGTTTGTTGTTGGTTTGTGGCTTTTGCAAAAAGATTAAATGACTGTTCATTTTTTGTTACTTCCACACAGAGAGCCGACATGTATGTGTATCTGATGTGCAGTCATACCACTAGCTGATACTACCCAGTGTATTCTTTACAAATCAGAGAGGGAGGTCCACGCTGAATAATTTATACCTCTTTGAGCCATCTCTCAAGACACCGAACTGGTTGTCAGGGTGGTCCTCAGCTGTTGGCCCCATCACCGCCCGCAGACAGGAAACCCCATACTGTCCAACCACTGTTCCTCAACCACCCTGTGTGACAACAAACCAAATCATTACAGCATATTCATACCTTTTTCCTCCCCCTTACCACACCAGCCATATGTCCACCACAGTCAGATAATATATCTCAGGTTAAGGACATTGTCCAAATTAATATCAGCACTAAAATCAAATAAAAACTTTATTACAAATAATGTCTTGACAACAAGTTGTGGTGGGAATTACTGAAACCTGTATAAAGAGGATTCAAGTGACCCACGTCAGAAGGTTAAGTGAGTTCACAGGCACTAATCCATTACTTTCTCATTCACTTTGTCCACTGTCTTTGTCTGGGATTCTTTCGGGGTCCACTATAAACTCAGCTATCACTCGACTGCCTCACTCAACTGTGAGCAAACATTTGGCTCTACTGCAAAGACAGCACATCTGATACACCTCCAGCATTTTACCTGGTTTCTGCAGAGAACACAGATAAAATGAAGCAGAAGTCTGCATGCGGTTATGTACGGTCACGCACCACCTCCACATCTGATCTTGTACACTGGCAGACTATCACACTACAAACCCCAGTAGCTGCTTCTCTTTCTGTCTTTCTTTCTTGTTTTTTTTTCTCTTCCTTTCAAAGTACAAGGGTAGCGTGAGTGAGAGCAGAGTGCCAGCAGCGAGCAGCTCAGGACCGGTTGAAACCTGTATGGGTTGCAACTGAGGAAACACTTCCTCCACCGGGTGCATCATCAACCAAATCCAGAAAGAGCTGGAACTGATGCATGAGTTCAGCACTCAGGGTCCTATTGACTGTTGAGTTTGTCAATACCAAAAATAGGCTATAGATAGATAGACAGATAGATAGATAGACAGATAGATAGACAGATATACAGATAGATAGATAGACAGATATACAGATAGACAGATAGATAGAGAGATATGTTACAGTTTAGTCTAACTGTACCAGCTCAATGCAGCATGTCAAAACACGTGTCATGTGCACAAAAGGTACATGTGAGCAGTTCTAATTAGTCAGCTGAGTTATTTCAGCCAACATCATGAAGCACTTTGTGGTGCCTGAGATTGAAACAAAGAAGGGGAAACTGGTGCTGCGTTCAGGCACCGTTAGGAAGACTGTCGACAGGATAGCTCAGTTTTCAGTTGGTTGGACTAACTAGCTTATTTAAAATAGGACTGACTTCAGGCTTTTGTCTGTAATACAGCCCATTTGTTCCACTTGATGAATATGTACTTTATTTATTATAAGCCAGACTTTATCATTCTCAAAGACATGATGAATACTTGCTAAAACACATTGTTTGCTGCCTACTGTACAGAAAATGTTGCAGCAGTTGCGTCTTTACAGCTATTTTAGGGACCTCACAGATGTCTACGTACTGGTAGACAACGGTAACATATTTACTACGTCGAAACCAACGTTTAAATCCAATATTTTCACAAATTCTCCGCCTTGTTCCTTTTTTTTTTTTACGTGGTACTTAAGGTTAAATCCGCTGCAGGTCGCGGTAATAACCGGATCAGTTCGTGGAAATATTGGATATAAATGATACTTTTAACATTAAATGTTTCCGAGTACACACAGCACACATACGTAACACAATAACTTCAGATTATCCCTGAAAGGTTTACGTGTGGTCACAACCGTAAACTTTCCAGCCCAGCCGCTGACTGCGTGTCACTGCCGTACTGCTTTTCCCCACACGCCTTGAATGCATCCTGAGATAAGCTGGCAGGCGGTGCCTTCGGGAAGTGGCTGTAATGTCATCCACCAATGAGAAGCGCTCGTAGCACCCACAACAGCGGTTTGTGCGGCTCCATATTGGATCTGCCTTTTCTTAGAAATACATTACATTGGAGGTCTGTCTGCGCATATTGTCTCACGCTCAGCCCCCGG